CATCGCCAGGGCAGCATCTCTGAAGGCCCCCCCCCCGCCCACCCCAGGCTGCTGGCACGATGCCCCTTTGTATGCCCGCTCCCCTGGCAGGGACACCCTACCCGCATCTGCTGGTGGGTGAGCTGCTCCACTTGCTGCTGATGCAGGCTGGCCAGGAAGAACTGGTGCTGCAGCTGCTGCGTCTGCTTCAGAGCAAGCAGGGCCGTGTCCGAGCCGGGCTTGACGAAGCGCTGCCCGATGCGCAGGTCCATGGGGGCGGTCTGCGGGGATGCGCTCCAGGTCACAGCAGCTAGCGAGACACAAGCAGAGAGAGGTCAGCTGCTGCCTCGCTTGGCACCACCTCCACAATCATGCTGCACCCCCCCACATGTCAAGCCAGAGGTCCAGTGCCCCTTCTCTAGCAACCTGCCCGCACCTTCCTTTTCCCTGAGCCTGAAGTACCACGTACACCTCCGCCATGAGGTGTTACCCAGATGCAGATCCCCTCTGACATGGGTGGGCAGGGGTCCAGCCACCCAGGTCAGGCTCCCCTAGGCTGTCAGACCAGAAGGCTCAAGTCAAGAGCCGTGGTGCCTGCCCTAGCCAGTACCTTGGGGACCCTGGCAACTGGTCCCAGTGCTCACTGGACTGATCTTCCCTTGCCAGGCAGGCAGAGCCCCCCCGAGGCTCCAAGAAACTCTCCAGGTCCCTTCTGCAGGTGTCCTCTGCAGACCTTGCCCCTGGAACTGGGATCAAAACCAAGCCCCAGCCACAGCACGGAGCAAGGAAGGGCAGCATGCAAGCAAAGCCTCTGCTCTGTGCTTTCCAACATCTCCCCCCAGAGCCAGGAGGGCTCTGCCAGCATGGGCCGGCTCTCCCCAGACCCCACATAAGACCAGTTGGAGCTCCCAGCTCAGAACCCCTTCCCATAGCACCCTCACATCCATATGGGCTTGAGAAACGGCCTCTGTGGCCCTAGCAGAGTCAAGGCTGAAATTACAGTGCAAATCCAGGCTTGTTTGCTTAGTCAATTCCCAAACGACAGCCCCCCCACCCCCGTCTCAGCTGCTTTTCATATGTTCTAAGGTCCGAACTTCTTGGTCCATAACAAGCACGGCACCTGGCTACGGCCTTCATGTCTGGGCTGCCCTTGAGCTCAGCTGCTCGACAGCCCAGGGGCCCCGTGCAGAAGGACTTGGATGCTCTTGTCCTCCAAAAGCATTAGTGCAGTGGTTCTCAATCTTTGTAGACTCGTGGCACCCCTGGACAGACTTGTGGCCCCCCTTTGGAGGCTGCCAGCTCTTAGCTTTTCAGAAAAATAATAGAGCCGCTCATGGCAAAGAACTCAGGAAGGCCACAGCTATATTTGAAATCCCTGAGTTGTTCTCATGACCCGTGTTAGCACCACAAATGGTGCTAACATGGCACGGTGCCCCGCAGCACCCCTAAAAGGATCTCAAGTCACCCCCCAATCCGCACATCAGTGCCCTCAACTTGCTACGTGCTTGGTGTCCAGCGGATTCCCCTTCGGGAAACCTGAATGGGGTTGAAATTAGGCCACGACTCGATATCCCCCAGTGGCTTGTGCCCAGACCGAGACTGGGACACAGTGCCAGGCAGTCAGAAAACAAGGGGAACTCCAGCCAAGAACTGTGCACAGGGGAAGCCTGCTGGGCTGAGTCAGAAAGAACGGATGTCTGAAGGCGCCTGAGACGCAGGGACATAGCAAACCATGCTGGAAAAAGCCAAAATAACCAAGGCAGGCTGGGCAAACAGCAAAAGCAAATGAAGATGTCGGGTTATGGGCTGAGAAATGGGCCAGCCCCCGCACTAGCCAGACCCTGGTGTCAGCAGGAGCCACACGGGAGCCTGCGACTGGCTGCAAACACTTCCCAAAGAAAAGCCCTGCAGGCCTGTGCATGGAGAGAAAGGCCGTAACCCCGTGTGGGCAACCAGCAGAAGAGCTGAGGGAGACAAGCCAAGCATCCTAGCAAATACCCTCTCCACTGGTCCATCGTGGAGCCACAGGTAGGACAGGTGCCTCAGACAGCAATTTGCAGCCTCCGCAGGCCCCTCAGAAATGGCCAGCGCTGAGTTTTGCCCCATTTTTTGACTACAGAAAAAGAAGAGAGCAATGTCCCTGTTGCAAAGAACTCAGGGGTTCACATCTGGCTTGCTCTGTGCAGCAACCTTGAAAGGATCTCAAGGCACCCCAGGCTGCCATGAGACCCGGGTGAGCGTTGCTGGCCTAGAGCAGTGGTCTCCACACTTTTTTGATCGTGCACCCCTATCAGTAAAAAATTTGAGCAAGCACCCCCAATATATATCTATTTATATTTATAGAAATATAAGTTCTAGTATTTTCTTCCCACACCCCAATGGATCATCTTGCGTGCACCCCACTTTGGAGACCACTGGCCTAGAGGGACGCAGGCCCTCCTTAGAAGAGAAAGTACCTGTGCCCCTGTTTTATAGAGCGGGGAAACTGAGGCACAAGGAAAAGACGCCAGAGCCCTGACTCCCAGTCCCAGGCCCCGCCTGTCCCCTCTAGCAGGCCAGCAATGTCGCCGCTGATGGCCACTGCCATGGTGTCGATATAAATTATGGAAGCATCCGTCACTGAAACGCCAGCAGCGCTCCATCCTCTGGAGGGACTCCTTCAAAAAGCTGCCTATAAAATCAGCTACCATCAGAACGGGTGGCAGATCCACAGCACACGGCCACACCACCACTGCCAGAGAAAGAGGAATGCTAACCTGCCAAGGCAAAATCCTGCTACGCCATACCTGGACACAGACTCAAGTTGCAGCAAGGGAAGTTGAGGTTGGATATTAGGAAAAACTCTCACAAGGAGGGTAGTAAAGAACTAGAACAGGCTACCTGGAGAGGTGGTGGACTCTCCATCCTTGGAGTTTTTTAAGACCTGGGTAGAGAAAGCCTTGGCTGGGACGATGTAGTTGGGGCTGGTCCTGCTTGGAGCAGGGGGCTGGACTAGATGTGACCCCCCAAGGTCCCTCCCAACTCTCACGTTCCCCAATTTTATGACTCAAGGATGTGACCTCTACTATTGAGCATCTATTAACCAACCCTTTCCAGCAGTGGGACATTAGGGGCCATGGTCCTGCTGCTTTCCCTGTGGCAGGTTCAGGTGCGAGGTCTTGCGTCGCATCAGGGTTGACGGCAGTGTTGCTCCGACATTAGACAATGGATTTTGGCTGGGCTGGGTTGGACAGGGCTGATCCTGCCTTGGGCAGGCGGCTGGACCCGAGGGGAGCTCCGGAGGTCCCTTCCCACCTGCCTTCTCTATGCATACATCTTCAGGCTGCTGAAAGTCACTGAGTTCACTTGCATTACGCGAGGTCCCTACAGTCTCCCTCCAAGATCCACAGGCGTTTCAGTGCCCTGGAGAAGGGAAGGGCATGGCCACCCTGCCAGCATCAAAACCATAGGGCCAGGAGCCAGGTGCTTTGGGAAGCAGTCAGGAGAAGAGAGCACCTGCCGACATGGAAGTCCTGGGGAGGGGGGTTTGCTGGAAAATTGCCTCCAGCCTGATTTTCCACCACAAAACAACATGAACAACACTTTCCACCTCCCTCATGCGGGCATTAACAGCACCGGGGCCATGCCCTATCTCCTTATCTCCCAGTCCCAGCTGCAGCCAGAGCGCAGCGAGCCGATGCCGTAGTGGCTAAGACGCTGTCCCCAGCCCGCGCTCCACGGCTTTAGGCCCAGTACATCCCAGGATGTATTTGGACTTGCCAAGATAGACCCAAAGGAGAAAACTGAAACCCCAGATGCCTTTGCTCAGAGCACATCTGTGCAGAGCAGCTCTGGGCTCTCTCTCCCACCCCGTGCCCTCTCTTTCAGTACTCACTGCCTGCTTGTCAGAGCCCCCCAGGACCCTCTGCTTTCCACCGCGCTTGTGAGATCTCAACAAGCCCCGTTTCACCCATGGTGTATCCCCCTTGTCTTATCCAGCCGATGAGGCCAGTGTCCGACAGGCTCCATCACTGCACCTGACTCGGGTTCCCCCTGGGTGCATCTACACATGCACATTTACTGCGCAGTACAGGCGTGTGTCTACATGTGCATGCCCATACTGCACAGCAAATAAAGCAACTTACACCAACTTGAGCGTAAATTTGATGCCTGCATCATGCAGGCATCAAATTTACACCCAATTAGTTACTGCACAGTAATGCACATGTAGATGCCTTACTGTGCAGTCCCAACTTTAGTCCCGAGCCAGCACATACACAACGTTAATGCGCTTTAACGCCTGCATGTGTAGACGCTGGTTAATGCCCGCTTACAGCACAGTAAATTTAAGCCAGCATAAATACACGTGTAGACCCGCCCCCCCGGGCACCAAAGGTGGCAGGGCAAATGATAGCACAGGGCTATGCAGTGGAAGACATAGCCAGACCATGACCCTGCCATTCCCTGGCACTTGGGCCTGTAGCTCTGCAACATGGGGGAGATTTTATGCTGCAGGAAAAAATATGAGACCCTGAAACAGCCTCCCAGTCCCTTGCACAGGCCGGATCTGCCCAAGTGGAGATGGGCGGTGACGGCTGGCCTCTGCCATGGACCAGGCAGGTTCTAGATGATGCACCAGCGAGAAGAGCGCTGGGCAAGTGTCTGGCTGGGACAAGGTCTCTGTGAACGGCCCTGACAGCTGCCAACATCTGGGCCTGCATTCTGGGGTGCTGGGTTCTCTTCCCAGCTGGATAAATACAGGCTACAGAGGGCAGATATCAGTGAAAGAAGCCAGGTTACATGCCCCTGCTCAGATGGCACTATCACATGCTTGCCTACAGTTTTACCAAACCAGGGAGGGTGGCCCTGCAGCCAGCGGGCACGGCAGATCCTGCCACTTGAAGGTGTTCCCCATTCATAAAGTGAAGGGACCTTAAGAGGTCCCATCTAGTCCAACCCCCTGCTCCAAGCAGGACCAGCCCCAGCTAGATCATCCCAGCCAAGGCTTTCTTAAAAACCTCCAAGAATGGAGATGCCACCACCTCTCTGGGGAGCCTGTTCCAGTGCTTTACTACCCTCCTGGACAGAAAATTTCTCATATCAAACCTTGCTGCAATGTGAGCCCATTGCTCCTTGTTCTGCCATCTGCCACCACTGGGAACAGTCCAGCTCCGTCCCCTTTGGAGCCACCCGCTCTTGGCCTGTGCACGTGCTAGCTGGTGTCCAGCAGCCTTTCCCCATAGATCTGCTGGAGTCTTAAAATGGAAAGCACAAAGTGCCCGGGGAGAAAGCCAGCTGCCCCGGGAATGCAAGGCAGACGCTTTCTGCTTG